ATGTAGTTTGAGTTTCCCCTTTTCTTCTTTTTTCTCACAATGTAACAACACATATGAACAATCTCAACAAATATTAACAACTAAACACCTTTAAATTTTACCTTCGTTCCCACTTTCTCTTGTTCAACTATGTAAACTCTACCTTGTGCTGCCAGGATTTACTACCGTAAAGACGGAAAAAGCAGCACATGTTGAAATTGAAAGGAGGAAGTGGCGGCGATGGCTCGGTTTAGCGGTTTAACTTTTTACTGTCCAAACATGTATGAAAAAACCCAATTTAACACTGAGGTTATTTTTATTTTATTATTAGTGTTTTAATGTATTACGTATTGCTGTTTTCTTGTCGTACCTTTAACTTTGTTAGGCACTTTGATCAACCAAGTTGTTTTAAATGTGCTATAGAAATAAAGTTGACATCGACACTTTCCAGACTGGTGGTGGTGTGGGGAAGGTCTTGATACACAATGTAGTGTAATAATGTCAGTGTTCCTCAGAATTTTCATCTAGAGCCATCATCAAGTGTTGCAACATATAATTTAATTGCTAAAATAATCACATTCCCATCAGTCTCAGAGTATAGTGCTAAATGGGAATGATTAGCTGATGTTATGATGACAGTATTACTGTGTTTAAAGGTCCAGTGTGTAAGATTTAGGTGAAAGAGAACTATTGGCAGAAATTTAATGTAGAATAATCCTCATGACGTTTTCACTAGTTTGTTTCATCTAAATTGTCTGAATTGTAGTTTTCTTTAAGAAATTAGATACTTTATTAATCCCTCAAGGGGAAATTCTATTTTTTTCTCTCATTTTTTTTTTACATGCATTTTAACCCCGAAACACAACCACACACACACAAAGGGCTCATAGACATGCAGTGCGGCGAGAGATGGTGGAGTGATGGGCAGCACCGGAGGAGCGCACCTGCAAGCAAATTTGGGGGGTTCGGTGCCTTACTCAAAGGCACCTCGGCAGTGCCCAGGAAGTGACCTGGCACCTCTCCAGCTACCTTCCATACTTTGATCCAAGCCGGCCATCCTCCGGTTACCAAGCCAAGTCTCTATGGACTGAGCTACTGCCGCCCAAGAATAATTTCAATGTAATTCCCTTTAAAGGAGTACAGCGCCTGAACAGGGACTTGAACCCTGGACCCTCAGATTAAAAGTCTGATGCTCTACCGTCTTTTTACATTAGTCCATATTGGACAAACAAAACACCTTTTGAGTTTTTATGACAATTGAAGGCTACCACAGGTTCTCTTTCATGTTTGGAAGGAGAGGGTGAGGTGAGGCGTGTTCAGCTGCAACATGAAATTCTAACACTAGATATCACAAAATTCTACACCCTGTACCTTTAAGTGAGGCTGCAGACTTTACCTTGATACATAGTTGCTTACTGTGTATGTGGCTAGTAATTTCATTAAAAAAAAACATTTTAAACAAAACACTGAATTGTGATTCGGAAGATTTAATACTAAATATATTCCTAAATATTTTTGTTGATATATGTATGTGAACGTTTTCCCTTTGATTAAATTTCAGTGGTCATTGGTGAAGGTCACTGTGACTAATGTCTTCATTTTTTTCCTGCAGACACTGAAATATGCGTTTCAAACCCACGATCGGCTCTGTTTTGTAATGGAGTATGCAAACGGAGGCGAGGTGAGACCTCACATGCACACAGTCTTATGGAGATCTATCTATGTGTCATGTGTTGTCAACAACTTGTTATGCATACTCCAATTTTCTGCAAAGGGTAAGTGTTTGATTCCAGCTGCTCTTGTCTCTTTAGCTCTTCTTTCACTTGTCACGAGAACGGGTATTCACAGAAGACCGGGCACGCTTCTATGGTGCTGAGATTGTGTCAGCGCTTGAGTACCTGCATTCACGTGATGTAGTGTACCGTGATCTAAAGGTGAGTACTCATTATATCCTTCTATATGAAATGCAATATCCATACACAGTGTAAATCATGAGTTGAGAGATGATTGATTGACACAAATATTAGGGTTGCATGTATCATCGTCAGGATATGATTTGTGTGCAATATACGTATCGCAGAAGACTGCTTGAACTGCGATAAATGGTGTTCCTGGATCAAATTCATCACTATGAGCAGTTTATTATATAAAAGAATTGAGCTTATTTATGATACTCTTAGAACCTAAGGGAAATTAACACATGGATGCACACTGATCATCACATAATGAACAAGACTTTTTTTAATGAGTTAAATCTCTGTCTGTCTTTGGCAAGTCATATCGCATGTTTTCCTAATATCCTGCAGCGAGATAAAAGAGAAAATTATGACAAAAAATGTAAAGAAAAACTCAAGCGACAGCGTTACTGAAGACAACACCGCAACGGACACAGCCCAAGGCTCAAAAGACGAGGTCATTGTTGAAAGTGTTTGGAGGAATTTGGGAGTGTGGAGATATGTTGGCTATTTAAAGTCAGACAATAAGCAGAAGCAAGCACTGCAAATTGTGTGGAAAGCATGATTCTATAGAGACAGGTTAATACTGCTAATCTTTTTCACCATCTGAAGCAGAAATGACAGAAATAGTTATTTGATTTATATCGTGATAAATATCGATATCGACCGATGGGAAGAAATAAGCGTGATATCGCCCAGCCCTACGTAGGGCACACGTATACATGTAGATTCTACGCACAAGCATAATTCAGGCTAATAGGTCGTTAGACGCTGGGACTCAAGATTGATTTCTAATGGAGTTAAGCTACTAGTGCTAGACATAACATCATAACATAGACATCACAATGCTTTAGAATAAACTAGTAGTCTTTATGCGTCATGATGAATGTGTACAGATTTTAAAGTTTTATATGTCTGCCTAATGTGTTTTCGGTTGTCCGTTTGTCCTCTCTGTCCCATTAATGCTTTTTTTCAACAGGATATCTTAAGACCAGTTCAAGGGAATTTCTTTAAATGTGTTACAAAAAATCACTTGGAGTCAATGAGGAACTGATAAGATTTTGGTGGTCAAGGTCATGTGACCTTACTTTAATTTGAACCCAATATATCAGGAACGCCCAAAGGAAATTTCATTACATCTTGCACAAACATTATCTTGGACTGAATGTTTGTGACCTGAATAGATTTTGGTGGTCAAAGGTCACTGTGACCTCTCACTCTTGTGAATGAAATAGCTCAGGAAAATCTCGAGAATTCTTTAAAATGTTGTTCTCTTGTTCACTTTAGCTTAATGATTAATTGATTAGATTTGGTTGTAAATGATCAAGGTGATGGTGGCCTCAAAAAACATGTTTTTGGCCTCTTGAATGTGATATCACAACACCGACCTGAAGGAATTTCTTCAACTTTTGATCAGTTGTCACACAAAGATGAAGTGATTACACTTCAGTGGTGGAAGGTAAAGGTGACAGTGAAACTATATGACTCTGGAAAAAAAACAAACAAATTATGTTGAAATATGAAAACACAGAAACTGCACTGGTTGGCGGATAAATACAACCGCAGTGCGGTAGGGGTGTGCTATTGACAAAAAATTATATCTCGATATTTTCTGGGATTTTGCTGATAACGATGATTTACTGATAATGGCCAGGCTCTCTGTCTGGAACGAGTGGGTGAATGAGAGTTAAGTTGAGGGAAGTAAAAAGGGATAAGGCTGAGAGACCCATGTACACACACTGTGAATGAGGAGGCAGGCCCTGTGATCTCTAGTTGTTCCGAAATTGAATGAATCCATTGTCATGTCCATGATCATAACAGTCAATTTTGATTTGTATTTCTATATTTAACATTTAGATTTCATATGTTACTTTTCTTTACAATAAAAACAACAACACAGTCCATTAACATTCTGACATTTTGAATGTGATTTGAACATTAGATCTTTCACAGCATTGATGTTTTTTTAATATTGTTCTGTCTCAGCTGGAGAATCTAATGCTGGACAAAGATGGCCACATCAAAATCACTGATTTTGGCCTTTGTAAGGAGGGTATTACTCCAGATGCCACAATGAAAACCTTCTGTGGAACTCCTGAATATCTTGCACCTGAGGTAAGACAAAGACATCAAACAATTATGTTTTGGAGCCTGTCGAGTACATAAAGGATCTCTCTAAAATATTGTGAGCTTATAGCGATAAAGAAAAAATAAATTAGTCTTTATCTTAGAAATCTCAGGTAAAATTTTCTTTCTCACATGAACAACGCAGCGCTCCAACTATCTGCTAAGAAGTGTTCACATCAGCAACAAATCCTCCTCAAGTGAGGGGTGCTACATGCATGTGTTTTTGTTCACAGCACATCTACACTGGCATCAGCTGTTATCACCATAAACTCTCTTGGCATCGTCTTTTTTTTGTGTTTTCTGTTAAAAACTTCATTAATAACACCCACTCGCTCGCAGTGAATTTTGTGGACAATCTCCTGCAGTGTTCAGACATGAGCTCCTCCTGACTTTCTGCAACATTTATACCAGGGGGGCCAATCATTCAGTGCTGTCTGAAAGCATCTTTATAAAGCCCAATAAATAGTAATGCCGCCTGTTTTAAGCACTTAAAGGTACAGTGTGTAGAATTTAGTGATATCTAGTGTTGAAATTGCATGTTGCAGCTGAACACCACTCATCTCACACTCCCTTTCCAAACATGAAAAAGAACCTGTGGTAGCTTTCAATTGTCATAAAAACTCAAAAGGTGTTTAGTTTGTCCAGTCTGGACTAATGTAAAAAACATGGTGGCCTCCATAGAGAGGACCCCCTCGATGTAAATATAAAGTATTTGAATATAAAGGGCCTTTTCCGGGGTAAAGAAAACTACAATTCATAATATTTAGTTGAAACGAACTATTGAAAAAAATCATGAGAATTATTCTACTTTAAATTTCTGCCAATAGATCCCTTTCACCTAAATCTTACACACTGGACCTTTAACTAAGACAAACTGTTATTTTTTTGAACCTCAACTTTTTCATTCAAAACTGAAATTTAAAAATGTATATATATTTATGAGGCTGCAAACTCACTTATTTGTTTGACATTAATGTGGCTAATGTCTTTTCTCCCTCAGGTCCTAGAGGATAATGACTACGGCCGCGCAGTTGACTGGTGGGGTCTGGGTGTAGTAATGTATGAGATGATGTGTGGACGTCTGCCTTTCTACAACCAGGACCATGAGCGTCTGTTTGAGCTCATCCTCATGGAGGAGATCCGCTTCCCCAGGAACCTGTCGCCTGAGGCCAAGTCCCTGCTGGCTGGACTGCTCAAGAAGGACCCTAAACAGAGGTGTCTTACCACACTCATCCTGTGTATTCATTCCTTCTGGAAATACCCACCTTGAAATACCCTCCTAATTCTTACATGATCTTGTTTGGACAGGTTAGGTGGAGGTCCTAATGATGCCAAAGAAGTAATGACTCACAAATTTTTCATCACCATCAACTGGCAAGATGTGGTACAGAAGAAGGTATGCGACTCTGCACAAAATCCTGTTTAGTCAGCCTTGGTTCTCTGATTTCAGACACTTCCACCAGGGTTTAAAAAAATGATCAAATCTATCTTTCACTCAGTCACATGTGGCTACAATTCTTTGATTTAATTTTTTTCCAATTCTCAATCATTATTTAATGAGTAAATGCACTGATTTATTATATGACAATATACAATAATATTGTTTTGTGCAATAACTTCTGGAACAATAAATCGTTCAACAAAATAGTTAAGGTGACAGGCCTAGGTGTGGGGTACGACACCCTTGTATTAGAGATCTGCCTCTTGTGTGAATGCGCTCAACTTTGCATGAATGCTCAACATACTCATGAAATACATGTTGTATTTAATACCATAAAACTGCCATCATCATTTGCTGCCTAATTGTATGAAATCAACAGGTTTATTCTCCTAAACCTTTATGTTATGAAAATGTTCTCAAGGGAGATAGTTCAGTTTTTAAGAGATGTAAGTATGATCAATCCAGTTCAGACGATAGACCATTGTTTACATGTAGGCATTTTAAAATCCAGCATGTATCCAACGGTTCAATCTTCTCCCCATTCTGCCTCAGCTTACCCCACTCTTCAGACCACAAGTGACATCAGAGACAGACACCCGGTACTTTGATGAAGAATTCACGGCACAGACCATCACGCTCACTCCTCCAGACAAATGTAAGTATCCTTAGCGACAGGAATGCAGTGCACCTACACAATCTGATTCACAATCATCTTCTAGTTTCATGGTTCAAATGTGATAACGGCCTTCTCTCTTCTTACAGATAACAGTCTGGACTGTGAGGATCCTGCCCAACAAGCACACTTCCCCCAGTTCTCCTATTCTGCTAGCATAAGAGAGTGATAGCATCTCTGACACATACATGCAAACACACACACCCAAACATACAATCTCAGAAGAGGCATGAACACCTTGGCCATATCACTTACAGCTATAAAATGACCAGAACCTCCATCTTTTGGTCTCAGCAAGATCTATATGTAATTGCCTCAGCCATATTGCTCTGTAGAACCTTCTCTATCCACATGACAAAGCCTGGCCACACTGGCAGCACTGTATTTAACTGGACTTCAGTACCTCAAATAGTCATCAGCACAAATCAACAACACAATCAAGACTCATTCTGTAGCACCTTCAGATGGCCTGTAAACAACTGCTGCTTCCTTTTCAGACTGACATGTATTTTTTTAAACACTCTGATCTGTGGTGTGATAAGAAGTCATACAGCTCTTCGTGATGTTTCAAAGTGCTCTTCTTTACAACTAGCTCTTATCACTGGTGATAAGTCAGGTGCATATATAAGGGAGGAAAAGGTGTAGCTGTTTGTTTGGTCTATCAGTTTGTGTCTGTCTGTCTGTCTGTCTGTCTGTCCGTTTTGTTTTTGAGAAAATGGGGGCATCAGATTCAAATTGTGTATGTTTGTTATAGGACACTTGGCCAGTGTGCATAAGAAACAACATATGAATGGAGAACACACAAGGATCAAAGTGTCTTTATAGAGAACAGTTGACAGAGTGAAACATGGAGATGCACATTTTTAAATCGTATGCAATGGATACAAATCACTCGCACATGAGTTTGCTCTCACCGCAGACTGTGATCTTTAGTAACAGATCTGTAAAGTGTGGCACAACAATTATTGGGAATTGGGAATACCTTAATGCACAAGGTGTATATGTTATTTAAAAGTTTTTTCTTATTTTGATTCTGACACATATTTGATCTTTCTTGATCGGATAAATACACAGCAGCCATGTGATTTTATAGGCTCATTAAGCACTTACTGTTTTAAAGCAGAACTTCTTTCTTCAGGTGGCTCATGTTCGTAATAGCTGACAGCTTGGATTGTGTGCATGCCTATATCACATATCATAAATGTCAAGAACTGTCAGATACTCAAGAGCTGGCATCAAATTGTCCCATTGACTTTAGATTATTTAATTTCATCAACCTTCTTTTTGGTTGATATCTTATCACTGTATCAAAGCGTATCATTTTGCCCTAAGGCCAAACAGATTTTATAGCAACATGTTCATATTTGGAACATCATTTTCTCTTGCCTTCCAAAGCTTGTTCTCTAACATCCTCAGTTCAATGTCTTCATTAGATCTATTTTATAGCCTTTCTATGAAACGTAAATCACCATATTTCATATCCATTAATTGTGGCATGTTAATGTCCTTGTTCCAGTGCATCCAAACCGCTGCTGCTGTTCAGACATGAATGTGCCACTAGATTTGATTGGACTCGTCATAGCTTGAGGTGATATCAGAGAGCTGTGTATTTCATGAACATGGTCCATGGTGAGATTTAGTTTTTTAGTGCAATGCGGACTTGCTGGAGCGTCTTTTGTTGTTTTCGGTTCTTCCCATGTATTATTCACAATATGAAATGGTTATCAGGAGGCGTGCAGAGATTTGAATAATGTATAATGTGTTATACTGTACATGAAAATGAATCCAACATTGTGTTGGTGTCACTCATGATAAAGGGCTGGGGCAGGAAACCTGCTCAACTCTCCATTACTCACAGAGCCTTCTACCACCACGTGCTGTTCTGACATCATATCCGTTATTTTAGTTTTGTCTCTTTTATCTTCTAGTTTTACTTGTCCACTTTCTGTTCTCCCTCATCCTTTTTCCCTGAGACTACATCACAGATCTCATACTAAAGGGATGGTTCAAAGAAAAAAAGGAAAGTTCACTCATTATCTACTCACCATTATGCAGATGGAGAACCAAATCACTTTTGGAGTCTCTGGGATAAACAGTGTTGCAGCCAAATTCAATACAATTTAAGTCCGCCACCAACAGTATGTAGTGATGCCAACATGTACCCCATGCCTGTCCTTGGGCAAGAGCTTGTGTGAAATGTGTGCGGTGTTTCCGGTGGATATCAGAGGACGTTTAGGCTAACGATTTGGTGTAAACTATGCAGTTTCAAGTGAAATTTTAATGTCAAGGCCCCCGGACACTTTGATGACACCACAGGAGCAGTATGGAGGCTGCTTCAATTGTATGGTATGGGCTGCAATGCTGTTAACCACTGAAACTTCAAAGGTGTTTTGTGAACTCAAACACTTCACCCACTCCTCCACCAGTGGTGAGTAAATAGGTAAATTTTCCTTTTTCGGTGAACTATCCCCTTAAGGAAGTTGATAATGGTTGTCAGAAATGTATGTTTTTCAGTGCCGTTATTCTATCAAACAGTTTATTACTATTTGTTTATCAATGTAATTCTGAAAGACAATGATTCGAAACACCTTTTTAACTGTCTTAATACACCCTTGTGTTTGTGTTTTGATTCTTCTCATGCATGCTGTTTCTCCATTTGGTCAGAGTCATATTCCTATTTTTGGTCCCTCACACAGCATGAACCATGCAAACATGGGGAAATTTGACCTCTGTATTTAACCCATCCTTATGAACGGAGCATACATGAAACACAATCCACACAGTGACCACACACACGGAACAGTGGGCAGCCATGAAGGCGCCCGGGGAGCAATTGGGGGGTTCGGTGCCTTGCTCAAGGGCACCCCGGCAGTGCCCAGGAGGTGAACTAGCACCTCTCCAACTTCCGTCCATGCTGGACTCGAATCGTCCACCCTCCGGTTCCCAAGCCAAGTCCCTATGGACTGCTACCTTCAAACAGGAAAGGTTCTGTTAGTCCTGGCCTCTGTGTGGTAGGTCTGACACTTAAAGGCCCCATATTTTACACTTTTCTGGGATTTAATCTGAGGTATTTGTACACTAAAGATGATATAGCCGTGGTTTAAAGTTTAAAAAACGAATGCGATGTGTATTTTTATGTCCCCTCTTGTGCCGCACTCCGGAGCTCCAGACAGAACAGGCTGTTTTGCCTGCCTCATTAATTATTAATGAGGTCCTGCTGGAGCATGGAAAAACTCTGGTAAACACAGATGGCGACGATTGCAGCGTAAGGTTATTATGTTTGGATACAGGATGTTTTAGAATGGTACTTTACACTGTCGTCATGTTTGCATATAGGAATGGTATATTTAGTTATTTTCTAATTAGGTCCGGTAATGTAACAAAATGCTTAGTTACAAAACACTATTTGATATGATGCCAGTTGCTTTATAAGGTTAATAGATAAACACGCATTTTATTGTGTATAATCGTTTGGTTACGTAATCAGCATTTTCCTTTTGTTGTTGTCACGAACACATGACAGTAAGTTTTCATGCAGTTATTTCAAAAGTGCCATGATGCCAACAGAAAGAGAGAATGTGCTGCAGGGAGACACATAAAATAGATTATCAAATAATCTTTCATTTAATTTTTCTTTAATTTAAGTATTTACGTTGTGGTTTCTTAGTTTTTCTGCTCATTAGGTTCTTGGGAGAATGAAGCAGCTCCAGTCCCCAACAAACTGCATGACAGAGCATCCTGGCCTGGAACCTGTGTGCTTGAATGTCTATTCTCTTTCAAATACATACAACATGTATTGGGCTAACTATGGGCCTTTGATGCTCAAACTATACCAGGTAGGTTAAAATGATTTCATAGATAATTATAAAACTTAATTTGTATAGCATCATTCATACAAAAATGCAGCTGAAATTGCTGCATCAAAATTAAAAACATGTTAAAATGTATTTATAAGAAGAAAATATTTAGTAAAACATAACAGGTTAAATGACATTTAAAAGAAAATACATAAGTCATTTTTGGAAAATGCATAAAAACAAAAAAAATGGATAAAAAGATTATAAGCATGCAGGAGTGCAAGATCTTTAAAGGCTGAAGCAAAGAGATGTTTTAGGTTTTCTCTAAACGGCATTCACTGAACTAGCTTCTCTAATAATAAATACTGTTTGGAATATTGAAATATATATTTAATAATATAACAATTTTGGCTAGTGTGTATAGCTAAAGTGAAGTAAATTGAAATGCATATTTACAATAAATATATTTGAGGCACTTGTGTTAAGTTGAAAAACCGACATTAAGTTAACAACATTAGATTCAGTTTTATTATTTCTCCTCGGATGTGGATGTTGGATTTCTTGGTGCCAGTGTCTTTATTTCTCCCTCAATCAGATTCATTATTTAATTCTGATGTGCTAATGTACAATTTTTACCAACTAGTTAATTCTATTTCTCTAGCTTTAGTTGATGATGGTGAGGTAAAACAACTGAACCTCATCCAATGATCGTGATCAATAGTGTAACAGAAGGAAGACCTCATGTTTGGCGCTGCATATTTGTGCTATTCTTCAGGATGTGGAGGAGAGAGACTGGATAACAACATCCTTTATTATTATAAACTATTATTATTATTAACAGCAATACTTAAGTCATTAATTATTATATGAATTGTTACTGTTATCAATAATAATCAATAACTCTTTTMMMMTKTTATYGTTTWCATTKTWAYTAGTCAGAGCTGATACCTGATGGTGCACAAGTGTTCCCAGTCTCTCACACCTCTCCCCCCTTTCCATTGACTACTGATGACCAGCAAGCTGCTTGCTCAGCAACATGTCTGCTTGGTGTTGTGTTAATAAAGTTGTGGGGGGATACGGAGGCTGGATGTGGTACTGGCTGGGTTTGGCCAGTACCACGTCAAAATCAGGAATTTTGGAACGACTTGTTTCGAGGACAAATTTCTTGGAATGGACTGAGTAAAAAAGTCAGTGGACTAACTGATTTCATACTTTGACCGTAGCTACTGACTCCCTTCAAGTATTTACTGATATTCAAATCCTAGAGAATGCATTTTACACAATATGAGGTGTGTTTGAACATCCAAGGGACGTAACTGTGGTCGGAGTGAGATCACACAGCACAGCTGAGAGGTTGTGTGTTGCACATCTAGCATTGATTCTTTTACACATGAACAAACCAGTCTTAAAAGGATAATACAGACAGGAATAAAACTGGAACATTTGGTGTATGTGTTACAAAAGTAGAGATTCCTGGCTTCAAATATGAGAAAAAATCCTTTAAAGTTTACTGTGATTAAATCAATGGACACGAATTGACAACGTACACAGATATGTATATTTCCTTTACACTTGCCTGGAAAGTGGAAAAGAACAGTGCAGGTAAAAACCTACAGTGTCAGACGTTGCATTGCATTTAACCCAAGTGAAGACACTACATTGCATTAACCAGATGAATGTTGAGAAGTCTTAATGTTGAACATTGTGATCACCGGTGTTCACTGCTTATCTCCATGGATTAGCATCTTTACTCAAACATAGGCTGACCTGATCACATCCAAGGTAAGAGTGAGATTGAGTGTGATTATATATTCCCACCTTTATGGAAATCACAGGCCATGTGGAGCTTTCATCTTCAAACTGTGCACCCACTGCTCCTCTTCAGTAAACTCAGCAACTGAGCTGAGTAGTGTCCAGGCTTTCTGGGTTGTTATGTTGTGAGGGTGAACAGTGTTATGCAACCAGGTAGCTTTGCTCCCCTTGCTGGTCAGAGACGCTGGAGCTGCTGCATGTGCTCCGCTCCAACACGCTTCTCTTCACTTCCTCAGCAGGGAACATGTGCTGCCGTGGAGAAACCACGCCTCCGCTCGCCCGCCTCACATGTTGGCGCACACATTCACTGTCTCATGCGCTGCACCGAATGTTTAATGGGAAGTCTAAAAAACAATCGATGTCTCAGGACACTTTTCTAGATTATATCTTATTTTTTTTATCTAATATCACGGTCCAAAGCTCATGGTGCACGTGCATTTCCTTCGTGCCCAAATCCCATTATTAGTTTAACAGCAGGAAAAGTTTAACAGAGGGTCACTGCTCCCTCATGGTTCAGAGTTGATCGTAAAGTATCAAGTAATATGCACCGTTGACAGTGAAATAGCCTTTGTGCTGCTGTCTTGACCACAAGTTTCAGCCCACTTCCTCCAGATATTCATGCAACTGACCACCGCTCATTTTCGGCTGTGGTGGGCGCTAGTGCCCTGGACAGGAAACTATGAGGGTTGCGCTCTCAGCTGTCGAGGGACAGGACTCATGGGAACCGATCGGCTGTTCGAGAGACAGTGGAGAGACAAGTGAGAAGTACAAGAGATCAGCCATCAGATGGCTTGCGACTAATGATCACAACTTTGGCGTAGCCATACCTGAGCGACTTGAGTTCATTCATCATTAACAACAGCGCCACAAACGTTACAAGGACGCTTAAAAAAATAACTTAGGGATTTGGGACGAATCAAGTACTATAGTTCGCCTCTTCACATTTCTTTGTTCCTATCCCTACCTGAATTCACAGATGCACTGATGTGTTCTCCTCACACATGCACTTGGTCCGGAGGGTGCTGCAGGTAACTCATTCTATTTCACTGTTTTAGTTCCTGAGCGAGGTCAGAGGTGCTTTCAGAGAAAGAGACGGACGAGCAGAGCAGCCTCGCATCCTGAGGCTGCTCTAAAGCCACAGACAGCAGGGTAGACCACAGACTGTCATCGGACTGTCTGTGGCTGAAGAGGCGTCACTGTACTGCCTTCACGTGCTGCCCGTAAAAGCCCCTTTTCCATACATCTCCAACAATATCAATCTTGCACAGGCAGCGGTTTGCTATTGATAATAAAGAGTGAAGAATTGTGTTTAATGCCGTCATTTTAGAATGAAAAACGGAATCAAATAAGAATAACTTTCATTAAGAAATGCTCATTCATATATACTTATCCCTCATTTCCTTTTTATTTGCCTTTAAACACATTTAAAAGCACTAAGGGTGAGGGTATGTTCATGTATTCTTGATGTCTTCCCACAATTGTATCTTGATACGGTTTTATTAATATTATGGGTGTTTTTTAATCAATATGTTATGATTGAAAACAAAAAATATGTAAAAAGAATCAAATAAAAATATGTAAACTCTGGATGTACTTTACACTGATTGTACCTATATGTGTTAAGATGTACTTTACACTTTTCTATGGTTTGATCCCAGTCTCCCACTGTTACCTTATTGTCCTTGGCCAAGATACTAAACCCTGGCAGTGTGTGAATGATGTGTAATAGAGAAAGTTCAGCACATAGATGAATTGTATGTGTGTGTGAATGTCAAAAACTGCCCATGAAGCCCTTCGACTGGTCATCAAGAGTAGAAGAACATTTACCATATCTTTGTAGTAAAAAAATAACCTTTTTTGTTTGCAACATTCTCCAGTTTCGTATTCGCTGCATTGCCTCCAAATGCGTGGGCTCTCCGACGTCATTGTGCAAACACGTGTTTTGGCACGAGATTGGGCAAACAGCCTCCGCTACGTCATCGCTGAGCTGTTTAGGCACTGCCACAGTCGTGAATATTCA